CTATCTGAGAGGAGTTGACACTTGTATGACTATATTCCTGTATATCCATCAGTAGTTAAAGGACAAGAGTCAGCAAATGCAAATTCTGCCCTGTAAAACAATGACGGCGGAATTGTCGCTGTACGATCTGAAGCCTCATTTGGAGCTTTTAAACAGGCTTTTCAAAAACTTTGATAATTTGTCGCTGTAATATTATATATTTTTTAGAATAAAAAGCCACCAGATGTGCATAATCAAAAAATAACAGAAATACAGTTAGAAAGCATTCAGTATTATAAGAAAGCCCACACTGTTTCTGAATAAATACATTATTGTATGAGTTAAGTTCTGTTCCGTTTATGTCTCTTTCCTTGTAAGTATGAAATGTCCCATCCTCTTGAATGCACCATACTGTAGCTGTCTGACGCTCGCGAATGCATCACACTGGTCTGTGTAGATGCCCGTTTGATTTTCAGCTGAAGACAAAGCTTTGCAGTTTTAAAACCCACGTCGGCTAATCGCTGTTTATTGTTGTGTGTGAATAACATGAGACTACAACAAATAAATCAGCTTTACCTCGGACACAATCTTTGGATTTAATGTTGTTCATACCATCGCAGTCCGCTAATCCCTGACCTGTGCTTTAAACCGAAGCCAAGAGTAACGAGTAACGTTTGTTTTAAAAATGTAAGGAATAGAAAGTAAAAATACTTGTGTTAAAATGTAATGAATAGAAGTCAAAAGTAGGAGGAAAAATAAGTAATGGAGTAAAGTACTGATCTTAAAAAGTGTACTTAAGTACAGTAACGAAGTATTTGTACTTCGTTACTTGACACCTCTGAAAGTAGTAAAAAGTTCTACTGGATTCACTTTGTATCAGTCTTTTTCCTGCTTCACAAAGGAAGGCAGCAGCTTGACAAAGCCATGATGGTAATTATTTTACATCCAAGTAGTATGCAGTTCTTCATATATCCTCACACACACATCAATTTCAAACAGATGGTATCGGTATGGTATCGGTATCGGCCAATACTGCAAAGGCAGGTATCGGGTATTGGTATCGAGGCCAAAAAAATGGCATCGGCGTAACATTAGACAGCAACCTCTGTTCAAAAGTACTTCCAGCGGCCCTGCCTGCAATTTGAACATGTATTTTCAAAATCTTATTTCTAAATGGAGATTTTAAAACTACAACTTGTAAATTTGATAATACATACCATTCCTCATACAATTAAAAAGATAATTCCTTATTCAATTTCCATTTTCAACTTGGATTTTTAAATACCTTTTCTTTTCTTAATTTACCATCTTCATTTATCTTTTCCGTGATCCTGCTGGTTGCAGAGTGCAATCAGAACCAGTTAAACCATTCCATGTGAGCTAGACCTGCAGAGATCCGACCAGTGTCGGCTTGTGTGCGGTGCACTCTGGGCAAATCTCTGTCCGACTTTCTCCCGTCTGCAACTGAGGTCTGAAACATGTCAGCAACTTAAACCGCAAGAGGTCAGAGAGAGATCAGCCGTCTGAGGTAGCAGTTGACCAAAAGCAACTGCAAAGGCTGCACTGCATGATGGGAAAGTGTCCTACTGTCACCGGTGAACAAATAGATGACTGGATCTAAGTTTTGCAAATAAAAACACCCCCACATGTCCTTCCCACTCTTTCAGTTTACTTTCATTAGTTCAAAATATGCATGAGTACAAACTTGGAACAATACATTGTTGGCATGTTTATTGCTAGTATTTGGTTCTGGATGTTATATAAATAACATGCAAAACAATGTATTAAATATTAAGCTATGCTTGGCTGATTATTTAATGCTTTTGTGTTCTAACATGTAGCTATATTGATAGGATAATTCCTGATTGTGGGCAGGGTTATAACAATTAATAAATTAGGTAAATTAAACAAGATACATTTAATAGAATTAACTGTGAGACTCTTCATCAATACAGTCTACAGGACTACAAAGGGAAGTTTATTTTATATTTTTTATTATGTATTTTCCGTCAATAAGCTGCATAACATAGACGTGATGCCAGACTTTAAACCCCATCCATCAGCAAAGCAGGAAGTTCTCATCCACATTCCAGGCGAGGCGCTCCTCATCTCAAATACACCTAGTATGAGGCTGCAAATTTGGAAGTACCACATACGTTCTATGGAGGTGATGCGAACAGTTACAGGGTTAACAACAGACTCAAAATAAACAACTTAAAACAGCCAGCTAGCAGGATGCTGCAGTCTGTCATAAAAATGTTTCATGTATGCAGAACTAGTTACTGGTGTGTATAATTTTTAAAATGACCAATTACATGACTTTGTATCTTCAACAATACAACAACAACAACAACAACAACAACAACAAAAAAATCCGGCTGTTGAAGAGAAGAACACCATGTTTGCTGTAAACCACGGAGGAGGTGAGGTTTTAGTTTTAGGGATAAGAAATACTAAAACTCTAAGATGCAATGAAATTTAAGGAATGCTCAGGATCAACATCGGCAAGCTCAGTCTGATAATAAATGGCCCAAACTGCAACG